CTGGGCGCCTGCGAGACTCCGGATAGGCCACCCACAAGTACGCGCATGCACTGTAGACAAGGTGTTGCATACCTATCAGGCGCTATGAGAGCTTGCATAGGCTGAACTTAGCAGGTTCGTACGGCGATTGCGAATGACGGGCGTACTTTCAGGATGACCCCCAGTTGGGCAATGGACACTTCTTCAAGAAGACTGTCCAGGTACATGGGGGGGGGGGGATAGGTAGCGGCCAGAAAATCTGTTCGATAGGCCGAATCGAGGCCGAATTGGAGAGCTTGGTTGTCACGTTCGGGCACCGATGACAACCAACTCCTGGTTGAGGGGGTAGGATTTTTGATTTCAACCAACTATTTTAGCCATTAGAACCGAATTAAAGGGGATGCTAAGGTGAAATTGCAAAGTCATAGGAGCCATTATTTCTGAACATTTTTCTTTTCGTTTCGTGAAAGCCTAATCTGAACCGATCCGAACTAACCTGCATATTACAATGTTCGAGGTACACCCTCAATCCCTTAGTGACGTTAGTGCGTTGTTCACCTATCAACGTATTTGTGCAATGATAAGGTATAAACAATTTTGTGAAAAAAATCGCAGCGATATTATATTTCCTTCTCTTTATCAACAAAACTTTTTTTGTTGTTAACGGAAAATAAAATTGTTGGTACCCGATAACAATTCGTTCCACAGAATTGTTTATAGCAAGAAACGAAAACCTCGATACGGAATCTGAGAGTGTAACTCCGACTTTTCAGCGAAATTGAAAACGGCGAGGATGGGGGCCATCTTCTTGACTGTCCGGAGCGAGGTTCGGAGTCCACAGTAAATGCGAGATCAATTACAAGCACGTTCATCGTTCTGCTGCCATAGCGAGCCTGTGCAGCGTTTCACTTGCCGTGTGTCGTATGAACCTCTACCTTATTGGGCGGGGGCGGTGGTCGAGGACGCGATGGACCGTCCCTCCTGCCGCCACTGTGTGCCGTGTGGAGCTCGGGGGATCAGGTTCAGAACGGCAGTCACCGCACCCTGCACTGAGTGTGGAGGTGGCGAGAGGTGTCGGCGCTGCACTGAGGCGCATTGGGGGGACACCGCCTCTAGGACTCTACCGGCCGCCAGCCTCAAGTCGGGCCAGGATAACAAATCCTGATAGTGGGGTGCGATAGCGCGCCCGCCACGCCTCCGCTACGTCATCGCCGCTGGTCCGAGAGACAGACCGGGCCGGGGCCGGGCTACCTCATTTGTTCGTGATTTAGTCTGATATTGGAGAAAACATATTTGCGCAGACAGAGTAGTTGGAGTAAATTTTTTTCGGCGAACACCAGGTGGCTGATTTTGCTCGTCCACTTCGTGGTTGTTCAGGGCAGCCCGCGGGCAGCCGCACGGGCGGGTTTGCTTATCGCCTCTGACCATGGTGCTGGTGCCTTACAGCTAACGCACAATTGCACCCTTGGTATAGTGTGTGTGTAATATAATGTTGCTGGTTGCCTATACGTTCAGGCGTCTCATCTGCGGCTGATGAGGGGGGGGGGGGTGACCGCCCCTGGCCCCTTACCCCCCTCGTAAAACCACCCTGGCGCAAGCATGAGTCAGACACCTGGTATGAGGAGGAAATTCATTTAGTGAAAATCCTATCATGTAGAGGTGTCGAAGACTGGACAATTTGGATTAGGATGGAGCGGGAGCAAGTAAGTGATAAGGGCCGTCCAGACCGTCCGTCCAGGCTGTTGTGGCTGTTGTGTGCTGTTCATTCTCATAGGCTCCGCCCACCTCACCAAACCCATTGTTACTGTGTTGCGAAAAGGCAAGGAAAACACCCAGTCGACCCAGCCTAAGGCACAAACCGGGTCCCTTGGAGAAGAGCGATGATGGGTTGCAGAGAGGATCTGGCGGGCGGGCGCAGAGGTAGGCCCACACGTTCAACGCCCCCCGAGGTGACGCGATGACGCTCCCTTGCCGGCCGCTCGCGACGCTCGCGCACTGCAGGGGCGCTCCGGGCTGGCCGCCGTCCGCACACTGCTGCTTGGCGGGTTAGCCTACCCAGCGCGTGGCGGGCGCTGTCACTACAGCGTTAGGACACCTCACACACACCCTCCTCCCACCGGGAAGCCCCACGCCCTAACTTGAGATGACTTCCTCAGCAGAGCTCTGCGCAGAGCGTGGCGTGGCTTGGCGGAGCGGACCGGGGCCATCCCTGGACCTGGACCTGGAGCACCCGGAGCTCTGAGCCTTTCGATGGTCCCACGCAGCTCGCCCACCTTCGCCACCTCATCGCGCACGCTGCGTCCACGGTAAGGTACTGCGCGGCGCCCAGTCGGTGTGCAGGGCTCCTACCAGTCATTCTCGCAGCCATATTCACTCAGTCTTGTCCAGTCCCAGTCACAACCAATCTTCCCGCTTCTTGTCAGTGTACACCCACTTCCGCGGTGATGTACCCCTCGGCTCGGGTCCCTGACAAACCACAGGGCACTTTAGGAGTGCTTTAGGAGTGCGGTGGCGCTGGGGATGGAGCGACGGCAGTTGCAGGGCAGGGGCACCTACCCGGCACCTACCCACTCGGACTCTAGCTAACGCTGAGTGGACGCGTGTCTTTTAAAATGGTTGGGGGTCATTCCCTATTAAAATGATTACCAAAGACTCAAATTCTCGAGGAGTTTAAGATAACGTTTTCCCTGGAAGATAGAATGTGATTGGGCAATGATTGGAGAAGAGTAGGGTGCGCGGTGGGGCTGCACAGCGCGCACTATTCAAAAATCAAACCTAACAGCGTCGCGCGCGCGCCTTCCTGCGCCACCGAGCGAAGGAGTACAGGCCGAGGAAGAGAGGGACGTTCAAGCACGTTGCAGGACGCAGAGCGAAGAGTAAGACGGGTCGGCTCTTGCCGAGTGCCCCTGGCCCTGGCCGTGGTGTGCGCCGAGCACGTAGCCCATGGGTGTAACGAGGCGACGGGGGCCGGGCGCAGCCGAGGGCGCAGCTCTCTCATCCCTCGCGCCACGCGGGAGGACCAGGACCAAGGGCCGGCGGCCGGCACCTGCGGCTGGCTCACTCCCACTCGCGTGTGCGGGCGTGGAGGGAAGGCGGGCGATAGCGCGGGGACAAGGAGGGGCGGCGATGTCCCTCGGGCCGCGGCGCGCCGGGGTGGGGCGTCCTTCCTCCTCTCTCCCGTATCGACCCCTCCCCCTGCTCGTTGCTCGTCGCTGTTCGGCGCGCGCACTGGACTGTACCCCGTCCGCGACCAGCTGTTGGCCACCAGGACGGCCCCTTGCGCCCTCTGTTGGCGGGCGCGCGCACCGCGACGCGTCTTCTGCTTCCTTCTCTTTCTCCCCCTCTCCTTCTCGTGTCGTCCGCTCGCCTGCGTTCCGCTCTCACGGCGATAACCCTAAATCGCGCACCACCCGAGACCCGCGCCGTGCCGCCGTGCGTCCGCGACAGTGCGTGTGTTGTGAATGTGTGTGCATTGACGGGCAGGTGCCGCACTCTGGTGACACGGCCTCGACGGCGTCCTGGATGTGAGCAGGACGGAGCGTGTGGAGGGCTGGTTCACACTCACTCGGTGAGAGCAGAAGCAGCGACCCCTACAGCTCGTCCACCCCAACCCCCACCCTCCTCCCCCTCGCAACTCCCTCACCTACTTTCTGGCTTAAGGACAATACACTTCACAGGACGTGTTTATCCGTACTTGCACTGTGTGCCCCGTGCCCCGCCCAAGCCCATTCTACGAGAGACAGCAGCCTTGATGAGCATGAGAGATGACGCCAACAATTTTAAAGGGTCCTGTCTCGTACTGTTTGAGGTTATGTTGACCGTGCGCGGGGCCCGACCCCTTTCGAACCTCTTTTCCGCCGTTTAGTTGGGTGTTCCAGTGTTTTTTGCAACTGTTCATGAGCGCTTCTATAAAGATAAGCTCGACACTGGGGCTGCCCCCCACAGCCAGCTCCAGAGTTGAGCGTTGGGTGTTGTATGTTTACATTCCAGAGCAGACGACAGGAGTGTGAAAAAAAGTGGGGAACGGGGGTCGGGAGGAAGGGACTGGGTCACTTAGTATTGTTTGAAGCTGCACTGCACGTGTCAGGTCTCCGAGGGTAGAACATCGATCTCATCAATGTGACTAGCAGTCGTTAAAATTGAAATCGAATTTATTTCATCGTCTTTGTCTTTCATTATAGAGCGCATGCCTCTGACATAAAGGCTACACCAGAGCTCCTCTGCTCTTTCTGTGACGTGGAACATATTCCGCGATCTAATGTAAAATCTGCCTTGTGCTTTGCACTCAGCGCAAATTTCCGTTCACGCATTTGACAATGAGGATCATGACTTTGAAAATGCGCGTCAAACTCGCCGTTCAAAATTGTCAACAACGGCGACTGCAGCGAAACATTCATGCGAATGATGCTATTTCTTATAGATGTCAACTCGCGCCGCAGCAGGAGCCGGCCTTGCGGCACCTTGCCTTGCCTTGCGGGTGTTTCTGCCGCTTACTGAGCTCCAGAGCGCAGCTCGGGTCTCGAGTCTAGATGCGTATCTGTCTACTCGTCCGCCTTTTCCTGGAGGAGCTGGGGGGGGGGGGGCTGAAGTGCAACACGTGCGTGTTTTATACTCGTGACACGGATGCCGGGGGAACACGCGTGAGTCCAGTAATGCTCCTGCTCCTCTCCCGGCCTGCTTCCTGCCCCGATCTCTTTGGCTCTTTAATCTCCACTTGAGTCCGTCAGCTTAACTAACTTTACCCTTTCTGTGTTCTCCAGCGGCGCGGGTCCACGGCTGAGCACGTAGACAACCCGCCACCATGTTTTCGCTGTGGTATGCGTACTTCGCCGTCAAGTGAGTATCATAAGAGTTAGAGCATCAAGCAGTGGCTGCGAATCGTTTGACAAGAAAAGCCCCCCCGGCTGTGCAAGCTAAGCCATTGCTCGGGTTTAAATAGTGCGAAGACTTTAACTGGATGAAATACAAGTGCATCAGGCTCTCTAGGGATCATCCAGGAAGTACGTCCTTCTTTCGCCATTGTAAACCTATCAACTTCTGCCTGAGGAAGCTCTCGTAGCGCCTGATGGCTAGGCAACACCATGCCTGCAGTGCACGGGTGTACAGCGGGGTGGCCTACCCCGAATCTCACAGGCGATGGGCTCCTGTAATCTGCCGAATGAATCCGAGAATAACGGATGTA